GATAAATGGTGATGGGAAGAAAAAAAAAGCTGAGCAGTAAATGAAACAAGGTTAACAAAATATTGGTAACTGTTTGAAATTTTTACTAATAAAAATTAACAAATATAAATATGCTAAAAAAATAAGATTAAATTGTTCTCACAAAGAAACATGGGGAGGGGGGTACTGACGATTAAGGAAAGAGAACTGCTGCCCCCTAGTGGTCATTCTCTAAATGACTTGCTTACAGCAATAAAATCACTGCCTTTACCTCTAGAAGGGGGATGCTTCCAACTCACTTTCTGAAGCTAATAACCCAGATTGTGTGTTGAAACAGCTTCCCTTCAGAACTAAGCCAGAAGAGCTCAACTCCAAACAGTACTGACTCATGACATGCTTCCCCTGACCAGTGATCAACCTCTCCTTGTGTTAAAAATAAGAAAGAAGGGAGAAAAGAGAATGTCACCACCTATTCAAAAATACAAGGCTGACCAGGCTCCCACCCCAACTTTAGACTCACCATGCTGAGAGGAGGAAGAGGACTTCTCCAGCATGGATTTGTAGAGGTTGCGGAAGGACCAGCTCAGATCCTGAAAACTGATCTCTGGGTAGGAGCATTTGAAGTCATGGTTGGTGTTATATAAGGGAGGGGGGCCCTCAGCACTTTCTCGGCCTGGAGCCCCTGCAGCCACTGCTCCACCATCCACAGATCCTGGGCCCTACAAATAGAAGAAAGACTTGATCCACATCCCAAATGAGGGACCAATACTACCCTTTCGTGGTCCCCAAGCTCTCCTGCCTGTCTTCATCCTCTACCAACTTTGCAAAGAATCAGCGTATGTTCGTATTTTGATGTAGTCTCTTGTGCTTTCCCTATGCTATATCCATGTACTTATTTCTCTTATAAACTTTTTTTGCCCCCCTTCTTCTCATCCCTTTTTTCCCTAATCTTTCTCAAATTTCTGTTCTCATTCTCTCTCAGCTTCCCTCTTTGGCTCTCCCCTTCACTACCAACTTATCTGCCTACTGTATCACAGATATTCAATATATAATTTTGAACTGAAAGATAGATGACTCTATTTAACCACCCAATCACCTATCCATCCATTCACCCAGCCACCAACTCACCTATCCATCCATCTGCCCCTATGGCCCCTGCCACCTCCCCTTCCTACCTGGCTATAGCTGGTGATAGATGCGGGGCTCTGCAGTGACATCTGAGGATTCCCTTCTGGAGGCAGTGAGGCTTCTCCACTCCCTGGAACACCTCCCCGAGGGCTCTTGCTTGCCTCCTGTTCTGGTGAGTCCTGGGATAGCTGAGGGGTGTGAAAGAATAGAAATCCATAAGCAGAAGCTAAACTTCCTCCCGAGACCCATGGTTTCACCTCTGCTGGTATTTGCCCTTTGCCCAGATATATGAAAGGACTGAAAGCAA